TCCCACGAGTGCATAAATGATTGACACAAATAAATTTTATGCATAAAAAAAACTATTTAAGAAGCTGCTTTAAATTCCCAAGAGCAGAAAATTGCGCACTTTACAAGGAGATGTTCTTAACTAAATTTTAATACATGCACCTTGTCAAAATTTTACGCATCATTACGTTCAGCTTTTTGGTAGGGCATTCAATTTTAACAATAAGTGATTTCAACAGTTTTCGTTTTTTTGGGACACCCTGTATATACAGGGTGTATAAAAAAAAACGCAACCTCGGAATTTCCTAAGAAATCACTTTGCAATTCTTAAGCATAAAAGATTTTAGGCCCCTGGGAATTGAAATCGAATTGCTAATAGATCATATTACTGTTGTTGTGCATTAAATAAATGCATAAATTTTGCTTTATGCACTCGCGTGTGCAGTAATTTTGACAGTTGTGCTATTTTAAATTCCCAGGCGCCTAAAACTTTTGTGTTTAAAATAATGTCTATTTCTTTGTATATATCGAAGGTATATCATATATATTATATATATATATATATATATATATATATATATATATATATATATATATATATATATATATATATATATATATATATATATATATATATATATATATATATATATATATATATATATATACAGGGTCTCTAAAAAAACGCTATGGAAATTCAACAGGCTGTCGTGCATCATAAACTTGGCTAAACAATTCAATTTTTATGTCTTAGTGAGACAATAAGAACATGTTTAATGAAACATGGTTCAATTAACCACTGAACAAATAACATTCGTAATCAAAACGTTTTACGAAACAAATGCCTTGCAGCAGGCTCGCGTTGGTTTCGGATTGATTAACTTTGCATAATTAATGTATTTTCAATTCCCAACGGTGGAAGAATGTGATTTCGATATACAAGGTGTATAAAAAAAAAACGCAACCTCGGAATTTCCCAAGAAATCGACATTGTTTTAAAGACAAAAGATTTTAGGCGCCTGGGAATTTAAAATAGCACAACTGTCAAAATTACTGCACACGCGAGTGCATAAAGCAATATTTATGCATTTATTTAATGCACAACAACAGTAATATGATCTATTAGCAATTCGATTTCAATTCCCGGGGCCTAAAATCTTTTATGCTTAAGAATTGCCAAGTGACTTCTTAGGAAATTCCGAGATTGCGTTTTTTTATACACTCTGTATATATACGCACATATTCATTTGTAGCTACAAAGAAACCGCGATCCACAAGGAAAACCACGTATTTTGATTACGTTGTTGTTTCTGGTATTGCCAGTGGTGTTCTTTTCATGATAATGGTCGTTTTGCTCATTGTTGTGGTAAAAAGGTAATTGTATTCTATTTATCCCAAAACAACACAATACTATAGACAATTGGTTAAAAGTGAAACATATTTACAAAGATTCGAGGATGATCTGATTAGACAATAACCTACAAATGGCAATAGCTAATCGTAAGAAATTGATATATAAACAAATGTCTAACTGTCGGGGATGGAGTGTGAATATTGAATACTGGGTTTGTGAAGTAGTGTAGATAAGAATATTGATGGTAGGAATAAATATTTGAGGTAGGAATATCAATATTTGAGATAGGAGTATAAATATTAACGGTATATGAATATGAATATTTGAAACAAATTTGGAATGAATATTTGTCCCCCCCCCCCGCTCTCACCTCCCGTCGACAGGTTTTATAGCGAGGTAGGAATATTAAATCAAGGGAAAATATTCCACCTCCGCCCTACATAACTTGTTCACAGAACATCGCATGTTCAGGGGCGTAGGAAGCACCTGGAGTTTGGGGGGGCACCGGCTTGTAGGGGCACATTACTATCGGAAAGGGCACCTAAAAAATTTTCCCCGGAAATGTTGTCGACGGGGGGGGGGGGGAGAAATTTCTCCTGAGGAAAATTTTCCGTCGTATCATACCGAAATTTATGTTTGTGACCTAATTTTTAAAAAAAATTTGTAAATTTTCACACAAAAACGGCACCTATTGTTTTAATTTAGTATTTACAGCGACATTAGCTTCTACAAAAGGGGCACTTTTCCTCACAAAAAAGGGCACTTTTCAACACAAAAAGGGCACTTTTTATCACAAAAAAGGGCACTTTTAGTCCTTTAAAAAAATTTGGGGGGGCACGTGCCCCCCGTGCCCCCCGCTTCCTACGCCCCTGCGCATGTTATAATCAATATGTTTACTTGCGTTTTCAATATGTTTACTTGCGTTTTAGGAAAAGTGAATACAGGAGGCACTTGATAATAGGAAACCAGCATCAAGGTATCAAATCGTAAATTTGAATTTCGACCCACTAGATCAGATTTCTGACTAAATAAAATGCTTTAACTTGGGCAAATAAGACAAACTTCGGCCTTGATAATCCATCATATCGTGCTCAACCTCATTTAGTAATTGTTAATGAAGGGTTGAAAGTTGATATTTACTGAAATGAAATACTGAACATTTCACTGCAAAAACAGATTGGTTGAAACAACCAACAAATTGGTTATCTCAGATTCGAAATGAACCAAATTGTAATGAACCTCATTCAAAATTTAATCAATCTGTTTTACTTCATAGTGCTTACTTTGGTCTACTAGATTGAGAAGCAGTTTTGAATATTCATTTGACCAGACTAAAGGATGGGTCCTGCAGTATCAGTCGTTCAGGTTTTTATCGTATATAAATAATGACGACTATATCTTCTTCAATGCAGTTGAATTGCCTTATATTGGTCATAAGTTGTACGTGGATCCGACAATCTACGACAGCCCTGAAGATGCTTTAAACGATTTCGCCAGTGAACTTGATCCATCTGTACTGGTGCTGGAAAAATTAATTGGTGGAGGTAGGTACACATCTTCATTAAAAATTCAGTGCAAGATTGGTATACCGTATTTAAAGTAAGCACGAGAGGGTCCTGCAAAACGAGTGGACATCCATCACTAATTTGTTGCTCAACTGTTACTGCATATTGAAAATTTCAAAATTTCAGGTGAATTTGGAGATGTTTACAAAGGAATTATGAAATGCAACGAGGGAAAAGCTCTCACAGTTGCAGTTAAGACTTTAAAGGTAAAGGACACATATATACATCGATACAATGGCCCTGGGTACGAGATTGACGTACATCAACATACAAATGTCATCACCGAGCTCTTCAAAATCTAAGATCTGATTGGCTAAGAGAAGGGTTCCAATTCTGAGTGACGGTTCCAAATTGAGGGTTCCACATCTGACTGGCTAACAGAAGTGCAATTTTATCGAAATACAGTGTCAAAAAAGAATTATTAGGATGTTAGGGTTTGTAATCCAAGTGAGAATATATACATTTTAAGACCTAACCAGAACTAAGTTATTCATGTCAAAAAAGAAGTACTTGGCAAGCGCCAAAACAAAAGGCATTTTGATAAATCAAATTTCTATTTCTTCCTGACTTGTAGACTGATCACACTGCGAAGAATGAAACCGATTTCTTGTTAGAAGCTTCAGTCATGGGACAATTCGACGATCCAAATGTCATCCGTCTCGAAGGAGTCATTACAAGATGTGAGTATTGTAAAATGCTGAAAAGATAGATCCAAAAAATAAAGAACAAAACAGACCTGATTCTGGATTCCGAGAAACATTACCTTTGCCAGAAGATTAAAGAACATTTTCACACATACGTTGTGGGAGAACCTTGAGGGATCGTTATATCATACTTCCTTCTCCGCCATTTAAGATCGTTTATTGTTGAAATTTTACGTATAATGTACGGTCAAATTTCCAATTGTTTTTACACACCTTTGAGGAACATTTGAGAAAGGCAAATTCAGGATCTGAGGAACAATAAACACTTTTTCCACGTCTGGAACAAAATAATAAATTTACAGGATGAGCCGCATCACAATTTCTGGCAAAAAAATTATTCGAATTTAACCAAAATTTGCGATATTTAACCTATTGATTTTTTCCGATTCTATATTACTTCTTCAAATCTCAAACGATTTTTGTTTGTAGCATTCCCGCGCATGATCGTCACAGAATATATGTCCAACGGATCATTGGATCGTTTCTTGAGGGTTTGTATATTTTTGAGATTTTGGGGGCATCTCGCACGATGGAACTAATAGTTGAAGGTTTTTTGCAGATGAAAATTTCGAGTAGACGATTATATATAATTTTAGACCAAACCAGGAGTAGTTGCGAAAAATGCAAGTCTAAGGCCTCTGGCAGCTAGGAATCGAACCTGTGACCCTGCGATTCCGGTGGTAGGAGCGCTCTAACCAACTGAGCTACAGAGGCCAGTTCTCGAGCTCTTTGCATTTGTTTTCCATCTCAACCTAGGATATACTGTACTACTTTCAAAAATCTTGATATTTCTATGACACTACTAACAGTTATTTTTTACTTCTCACAGTTAAATGATGACAACCTCACTGAGTTACAGTTGATTGGTATGGCAAGAGGAGTCGCATCGGGAATGGCGTATTTATCTGCAATGAATTTCATACACAGGGTAATGAAAATATTTTGCTCGAAATACTTAATTTATCTTATTTTACTAACACAATAAGTTCTTTGTATGTTTGCATGGCGATAAAACATACAATAGTTTTGTTTGTGGAAACACCACGTAAATTTATTACTGCAAAGCTTTCGATCCGTAAGCCCGGATCTTCATCAGTGCTAATATTATTAGCACTAATGAAGATCCGGGCTTACGGATCGAAAGCTTTGCAGTAATAAATTTACGTGGTGTTTCCACAAACAAAACTGTTATACAATGTGCACAGTTTTCTTGTGCTATTCATTTGCTTCTCGTTGTATTAGTTGGTGGTTCTGTTGAACAGTATATTTGAATTAACAATTATAATATAGCATTTGTAAATTCTGAACGCTGATTGGCTAAGAGCCGTGTCGATATAACTCAATATCAATACGGAAACGTCGGAAAATTTCTTTCTTTATGTTTCTTTGTGCTACATTCGGGCGGAGTGTTTTCACACAATTTCGAGTTTTCCCAATTTCCACGAGTGTTGATATAACTGTATATCAACACGGAAAATGTTTTATATTTGTTAAATATAAAACACTTTCCGTGTTGATATAGTTATATCAACACGAGTGGAAATTGGGAAAACGAGAAATTTCCAGTTTTCCCAATGTCCACGAGTGTTTATATAACTGTATATCAATATAGCACAAAGAAATATAAAGAAATTTTATGACGTTTCCGTGTTGACATCGAGTTATATCAACACGGCTCTTAGCCAATCAGCGTTCAGAATTTACAAATGCTATATTATGTTTTCTATATGCCTTTACGCATGGGCTACAATTTTAAATGAATACGAGATTTTTCTTACCCTTGTAGTGTCTAAATGTTTACGGTTTGAACTAATTTGGAGGATTATTGCCAACATTCAAGGAACCCTTAATAATTATTTTGTCGATATTTATTATTTTAGGATTTGGCGGCAAGAAACATTTTGGTCAATGATGATTTACTATGCAAGATAGCAGACTTTGGTCTGTCGCGTTCCTTGGGGGATGAAGGCTCAGATGGCGAATATTCTATTTCTGTAAGTGACACTTTCAAGACAATGCATCTGTAGCGTCCCGGGATCCCAATAATCACTTCAACACACTCAGTTAGAATCTGCTTTATTAAGGATAATCTCTCTATATTTATAGTCTAAATAAATAGGGCGTTTACAATGACTACACAATTTACATAAACTGCGTCAAGGATGCATGGGCGATACGGAAGGGAGTCGGCCTACCCGAATATGCTAAGTCATCGACCCACGCGCAAATAATGCTAATTCATGTTACACAATCGTAACACATCTAAGAATTTCACTCCATCTTTAATGATTTGTTGGTTCGTATCGGATTTTGTTTTTCAGCAAATCACTTTCACACACTAAAATGAAAGTTTAAAGAGTTTAACAAAAACTTTGATAATAGTACAAACGAGCATTGAGCACCAAGGGTACTAGGTGTGGATCTCAGATAAGAAATTGCAGCGTTTCGGTATCGGCTTTGTATATGAATATCGTTGTTATAATGTTTGCTATGAATTTAGGGAGGAAAGATACCTGTGAGGTGGACAGCTCCAGAAGTGATTGCATACCGTAAATTTTCATCTTCAAGTGATGTCTGGAGTTATGGAATTTTACTTTGGGAAATAATGTCGTTTGGAGACCGACCTTACTGGGAATGGGATAATACGAAGGTAACCATATGCTCCACTTCGAGGAAAATTTTGATACTTCTATTTTAAAAGTATGGAAACACAACTTAAAATGTAGCGGGATGCCGTAAGATCTTCCACTTTTATGTTTCCAATTTCAGGTCATGAAAGAAGTGGAAAACGGATTCAGACTCCCTCCTCCAAAGGTTAGTGTTGTTTTATCTGAAGGCTGAAACAGTGATGGATTTACTGAGGAGTGCAGGGGGATACGCATCCCTTCTAGCCTTAGCAAATGGCGGTGGCGTGCCAATTTCCCCATCATATAATTTTTTGATTTGGAAATTCAATTACAAAAACAAAAATAAAATAGAGACAAGATAGGATAGAAACATGATTATGAAATTATCAAACACGACTCCAGACTGGTACCTAGCTTGCTACCGTAGCTCCCTCCAGTTAAAATCGCACCTTGAACCATGACCAAAGTTGGATTGGAACATTCCCTTCCCCCTCCTCTCCCGTATCAGATCTGAATCTCTCGTTGACCTGAAAATTTTTCAACATTGGAATATATACCGAAGAATGGTCAACATCGTAAAGCACACCGAGGAATGGCCAATATGGATAACTCTGTACAAAGCATAGATATTGAATTTGTCTCAATAATTATACATTCTTTGCGGGAATTCAACCTTATTTTTCACCCTAACATTTAGGACTGTCCAAGAGGCATCCACAACCTGATGTTATCTTGCTGGAAGGCCAATCGTAGTGAGCGTCCCAAGTTTGAACACATCAGCCAAGTGATGAATGGCTGGATAAGATCCCCTGAAACCATCAATGAAGATCCACAGGAGTCTGTCATAGGCGACTGGTTGCACTCCATTAAGATGGGAGATTATACTTCTCTGTTTCTCAGTGCGGGCTACGAGAGCCCGTATCAACTCGCTGGAATTGGGAACGAGGATTTATTGAAGATTGGAGTGAAGCTTATTGGTCACCGGAATAAGATACTCAAAGCTATCAAGGCGTTTGATGACAAGCAAGCCAAGAAAAAGACCTCACTCACAAGGGCTGAATCTATTGTAGTCTAAAGTGATCATTAAGACTACACTAAAACCGCAAAACCTCGGCCGCTATGCGCGAAAAGCATGATGGATTGATTTGATTACAATATGTAATTCATACTTCCGACACGCAGTAGTTATGATTGCTACGTCCTACCAGCCGTTTTGGTTTTTGCGTAAAAAAAGCGATTTCTAATTTACGAATTCCCACGAGTCTCACCTATTTCGTATTTTATTCGTAACCCTGAGAAGCAATCCCGGCACAATTTATTGGATTTTTAAAATTTTTATTGAACGTTGCAGAAAGTTGTTTGTGAACATGCTTATCAGTGTTTAATTAACTCCTTTGGGAATTAAATTCACTTCAATTGATTAGCAAAACATAACAATTAGATAACATGTATGCATAAACAGTGTCCTATAATAATAACACACCCATTGTCCTTTTCGCGCTTATAGGTCAGTGTTTTTGACAATCAGAAGACATTAATTGAATTAGCCGTATATTTTAGTATCAAAACGACCGCAATAATTGGCTACGTAGGTAACGGTCACCCAGCCTTAAGAGAAAAGTATAAAGAATTCATAGATTTGGAGTTAGAGATAGAAGTAGACATTTCGTTATACTATAACAAATATTTATAAGTCTTTGCGAGAGAATTGGGATTTAATTTAAAAACTCTAGAAAGTAGCTAGGCCTTAAAAAAATAGAAAACGTACTGAAGGTATAATGACAAAAGAGCCGTAACGCCGCAGGAGAATGAAAGTTTTAAAACTTACAGCAATGGAAACTGGGTGCGAGAATATGTTTCCAAATGTTGATAGAACTTAGAATGTAAAATACGGAAGAGTTATACGTCATGCAATTGACGGAGGGAATTAACATTTTACCATTAAAACTCCTATAATGAGGTTATATTAGAGAACGGTGTTAGAATGTATACTGACAGAAGTCCCTGAATATAGAATTTTATAGAACTGAATTTTCCTAGTATTGAAGCTAAGTAAATATAATGGTACATACCGCAATACACAATCACAATAATGTACGCGAATAAAAATAAGATAATATTATGACGCTGCATGGCATTAATATAATTATCTGCTGAATTTCATTAATTACTTCGCAATGTGAATAATCACTATAATGAAACACACAAATTAGTAACTTATGCCACTTGACGTGTAACTGAGCAACGTGACGTGTTTTTCAATATAAATTCAGATATAGTATGTGGTATTAATTTCCGACAAATTCCGGATCACTCCGACTTAAGTGCATGGTGTTTCCTAGGGAACCATTTCTATATTTGGATACTAACTTTCAATTAACTCTCAAGCATTCCCACATATAAAGCGAATCTGTTAATCTCTAGATGATCCAAAGTTAATATGCTGCCAATATCAACACGTGCCGATATCTTCTTCAATCCAGAAACGTTTAAGGTGGTGGATGAAAGTTCATAATTTAAAACTTTTTAGCTTGAGTGAGGAAAGATTTAGTAATTCGTGTTTTAATGCATGCCGCATAGTCAGTTTCTCATTTTTGATGCGACATTATTAATGACATATTCAAGAGGCGATATCGGTCAGTGCGGTGTCTTTCACAGAGCAGAATACCAACGCAAAATTCCTTGACTTTGCCAACATTTCCTAGTTGTTTCATTCACAATCGTTATACGCCGTAGAAACTTTATTTACTTTGTCGAATGTTTGATTAAACCATATATGGTATTTTTGGTATGTATATTATTTAAGAGTAGCTGCCGTCAACCACTTTGGGTATCGGTATAAATGTCGCAAGGGCTTGAAGTGGTTTTTGACACTTCTTTTTTTAAAAAATTCGCTATCATAAGCAAAACTTAACTCTCGAACGAAATACACTGATTACGTTTAATCGATAGTCCAAGTTACCAAAACAGTATAGTTACTTAGTGATCACAACATGCCGACTTCAAAATCGATAATAAAACTGACCGACTTCCCATTCCAGTGAAAGACTGTATTATAGTTTAGAACAGGTCCATTGCCTCTCGGGGATTTGCTTTTTATATATTTGTAGTACTGATGATGAACAAATAATCACGACCTACTTTTTAAAAATGTCTCTCTCTTTCAAAAGTGTGATTTTTGCGTGTATTTTGGTCTGCTATAAATAAAAATTCCTTTTATCATATATTTCAATGAGCTTTCATCCCTTTTAACGAGATCCATATTTTTATGTAATCTCTCCCTCACTGTTCTTTATTCTGCGCGAAATTAGCATTCATTTGCATGCTGTATAATAATTCTCTGTGGGCAGCATCCGGCAATCAAAACAGCCACAACACGGTAACGCATCGTGAGAAACAACAGTAAATTAAAGATCACATCGATAACTTGCTGGGTAATTGAATAGACGTTTCAATTATACTGGGGATATTATCAAATAAGAAGAATTGACGAAAGAAAAAGGATCTGATATTATTCTTTATGGTGATATGAATTAAAGAAGTCAAATATTTGAAGTGTCTTGTGTGTGGGTATCGAAAGGTGAGTTCGCAATATTTACCGTTTACTCAATAAAAGTTTCTATGTATATAGAAGTCTGTACTGAAAACAGGGTAAGTTCTCATAATTTGTAATACGGTTTTGCGAAATGTTAACTGAACATAAGCGATGACTGTATTATATCATCTAAATGAAGGTGGTGAAGTTTATTACTGATCATATATTATATTATAATATAGTGTATTTGCATAAACACGTTACAAACATGAAGAAAGATATGGTCAGAAACTTAACACGATGTTCAGCGTTTTTAATTTTTAACCGCAGTTTTACGAAAGAAGATTAGTTGATAAAACTGTAGCCTATAGTAAAAGATTAAAGATACAAAAAAATTCCGAAGGAATTTGAAAATTTTCTCAAAATCTTATGGCATTAAGATCTTTTCATGAGATTGTAGGCAGGGTTTTTTCTTCTCATTGCATGCCCTTGCCGGAAACTATTTTCTCTCCATCAACTTAAAATTTCATTTTCACTTTTTAGTAAAATAGTTTATATGAAAATGGATTTCGTGGTATGGTTTTCAACTTGGATTTGTTGGGTTTTATTTTGTCTTCCATTGTGCAGCAGTAAGAAAGGTTCGTAAAAACATGGGTTTTTTGTGCTCATGACAGTTTTAATTAAAATACTGACCTAATTTTTCATTGCATTTAGAAATTATTGACAATGATATTTTGGAAAGTACGAGCTTCCAGACTTTTAATGTAAATGGCAAAGGCGAAGGGGTGGGTATAAATATATAATTGTATTTAAACTGTAGTACAATTGTAGTATAATATTCATCTTTGCATCAACTACATTTAGTGGTCATTTATAATGGACGAACAACACGTTAAAACCTGTGGCATAGGATCAACTGCAGACTTTTGGTTTGTTACCAAATTTGTGGATCTGGGTTCATCGTATGCTGACGTGATTTATGTAGATGTTGAGGCAGGATTTATCCTGTGTGATGACCCTGGTACTAGGAAAAAAGTGCAGTGTTTTTCCAACTATTTCGAGGTGTACATCAATCGTGGAAAGGATAAGCCTGTCGTAAGTGAAGATAACCTCCTTAAACTATTTTCTCCAGTTCATAACATCACAAACAATACCTCACTCAGCACAACTCTATCTAAACAAACCCAAACCTTTTCCTTCAACCCAAATGATACTAAAGGTGTGACATTCGCAGTAAGATCCAAAGGAGCGTGTGGAAAGATATTGAATATGACAATGTATTACTACTACTGTGAGGAAACCTATATCCACAGTGTCAGACTGAAAAGGACTGCATCGCCTATGAGTGGATCTAAGCTTGTCACGGCTAATTGTTCTCAGAACTCGCTGGCTTCAAATAATATGACGAGACTTGAAGGTTACTGTTACAGTAACGGATCCTGGAGTATGAATAATGATTTTGAATGTTCGTGCATCGAAGGACACGAATCTAGTACCAACACCGGATGCTCACGTAAGTTTATTGTTAAGAAAAACAACAACAACAACAATAAAAGAAGCAGCAACAACAAGAACGACAACGACAACATACAGCAACAACAACATGAACTCCATTTAGGTACTGTTTATTTCCTTTGTGTAATATTAGGTTTTTTTCATACATAGTTTGCAAGTCTGACAGTTTCAAACAAAATGTATCAAACACCGAATGCACCAAATGTCCTCCAAGAAGTACAAGTATCGAGAACAGAACCAGTTGTACATGTAGAGATGGTTATTACAAGAGTCCCTTGGATCAAAATGTCTTGTCCCCTTGTTACGGTAAGCAGAATTGTACACAATCATTACATTGCCATTTCATGAACTGGCTTCAATATCACCGATCTACACCGAGAAAGAATCTACAGAATGAGAGATTTCTTATATGCAAAATGTTCAGATAAATAAGTATATATACTTTTATTCCTTAGTTAAACGTTCATTTATTAATGCACGTCATACTTTTCTAGGACTACCTAAATTGAAAGAAAGGCCAATGATTGAAATTAACAAAACTAGTGCACACATAACCATAACATGGTCTAAACCTGATACAACAGAAAGTCTGAATGAAATGATCTCATATGACGTTGAATGCTTCTTATGTGAGGAAAAGATATGCAAGTCACCATGTAGTACAAATGTCATGTTCATTCCTTCAAATGACGATTTGCATAGCACATTCGTCGTGGTTACCAAATTACAACCTGGTCGAACCTACGTGTTCCGAGTGTATCCGAAGAACATTCTGAATAAGAGGATTCCAAAAGACAAATGGAATTTTTTGGAAACTGAACATTTCACACATCAATCATCCAGTAAGAAGTTTTGCTTTTGTTTATTTTTAGTTGTATTAGCCATGCCAAAATTGTTATATTGGGTAAATATAAAGTGCACAAATCGATTAAATTGAATTCCTGATTTAATCAACAAAAACCACTATTACTTCTTGCTTATATGAGCTATGTTTTTCTATTTGCCAAAACCAACAGAACAACCAAACTCGGAAGGAGGAAGTGATAAAACTGGAAGCATTGTTATTGCTGTAATAGCCGTGGTGCTGTTCGCACTGATTATTTTATTAGTGATTTTTGCATTTAGAAGGTAAGCCTAAACCATTTGCTGTACTCTTTTTACAATCGCCTGCATGGTTAATTAAATCAACAAATGGAATGTTCTTCGAGTTGATTGCCGCCTTACATCGCGGTAATCTCTGACAAGATCAATAAGACCGTTGTATTATTTGCATGACAAAAATACATTAAGGACCGGAGAAGTCTAGATAATATAAGTGTTTTTCTAAGAGGGGGTCCATAATTATTTTTAATTAAGGCGAGGAACTAAGAAGAACAAACCTTTACGGACATTTCTGAACAATGGAGGTAAGATTTACACTTTGAGAATAATTATAAGAACTTTATGGTATTGAATTTTATTCTACAATATTGGTTGAATGGTTAAGCTATGCCGCGCAAAGTTGATGCATGTCTATATTATACACTAGTTGATTTACCAAATGCTGGTATGAAGCCGTATGTGGATCCTACCAACTACTCAAACGCCGAGGAAGCTGTCGAGGAGTTTGCAAACGAACTTGATCCACGTTTTATTTTCTTGGAAAGATTAATTGGTGGAGGTAAGTTTTTGTTTACATCCAAGAAACGTGGAGTGCATACAAAGAGTGCAAATGAGAAAGGGAAAAGGGGAAATATTTGAAATACGAAGATAGAAGGGAATGACAAAATGGCAGGGAATATAAATTGGATATTCAAAATATCAAATATTTTCATTTTATTTCTTCTTGATCAGGTGAATTTGGGGATGTTTATAAAGGAGAGTTGACAGGTAGTAATGGAAAGAAAATCCAAATTGCAGTAAAAACGTTAAAGGTATGCACGGTTGAATTTCACATGGCAAATAATATTATTTTAAATCTTTTACATCTTCCACCTTATCCATCCAAATCCATCTTATCTTCACTTTCTATATACAGATCAAGACACGATTTATCTTATTGCTACACTGTTATTGAGCAGAGTAGCGAGCAAAAAATGATCGATATTAAACATTTTCTTTCGTTTGCTCTAATCTAGCATGATGCGTCGTCAAAGAGTTCAAGGGACTTCATGTTAGAAGCCTCGGTCATGGCTCAATTTGATTATCCAAATGTTGTGAAGATGGAAGGTGTTATTACTAAAAGTAAGTATCCAGCATAATCTCCAAAGATAATATTATGATGATTTGGAAGTCTGGCAAACTTCAAATCTACAAAATAGAAGACTTTTGTACTCACCCGTACCTCACTGTTCACAACTCCTTTGTCTCAAACTTCATTGAATATTTTTCATCATGGTTGCACAAAAACATAACAGACTGACTTCTATTCAGTTTCCAGACCATCATAATCGACAGACTGAATATAAAAGTTGATATTAATATTTAATTAAAACTTATACATTTTCTTACAGCAAAACCTCGCATGATTGTGATCGAGTACATGTCTAACGGATCTTTAGACAACTATCTCAAGGTAATGGGGATAAAACATATAGTAGTATTACTGAGCACTGATGAGGATCCGGACTTACGGATCGAAAGCTTTGCAGTAATAAATCTACGTGGTGCTTCCACAAACAAAACTACTATATATCTCAAGGTAATACTTCAGTTTAGATCAACTACAAACTGCATTATTGTTCTGACAAATTCCTTTTATCTTCCATTATTTTCAGAATAATGATGGAATGTTGACACGACTACAACTGCTTGGTATGGCAAGGGATGTGGCTGCTGGGATGAATTATCTCGCTGAGATTAAATTTGTTCACAGGGTAACGTCTTTATTCATTTAGAGGTTAATACGTGATCATTTTAGAGGATAGCCCTTAGAAGAGCTAAGCTAAAAGCAGTTTGGAACTGATAAGGCTATCAGGATACAATAATAGCGTTGAAGGTTTAGTTTAGGTTTCCTCCAATTGTAGTAACACTGTACCAATAATTAAGGGTGGACCTCTATATGGAAAACAGTTTAGAACTGATACCGAGCTATGACAGGACCTCTGTAAGAACAGCTGTAGAATTGGATATGATAGGGCTGCCAAATATAAATACATGATATAAATATATAGTTTTAAAATTAATTTGAATTATTATATACTCCTGTAGGATTTGGCAGCAAGAAATGTATTGGTGAACGATGCAATGCTTTGCAAAATATCTGACTTTGGCCTTTCTCGGGAACTTGAAACCACAGAAACTCAGTCCCTCGGAGAATACGCGACCACTGTAAGTTTGCAGGGATGAATCACTAATGAACACTGATGCCGAGAAGAATGATTATGATATAACAACACTATTTTTATCTATTTTAGGGAGGAAAGATCCCTATTCGATGGACGGCTCCAGAAGCAATCAAATATCGTAAATTCTCAACAGCCAGTGATGTCTGGAGTTTTGGTATTCTACTTTGGGAGATTATGTCATTTGCTCAAAGACCGTACTGGGAATGGGATAACTTTAAAGTATGTTTTGTACAAAAATAGGTGATGGCTTTGTATAAATGGTTTTCCATACAAAATGATGGTTTTGTATTCAAATAGTTTGATGAAATTTTGTGGAACAGTAAACAATAATTTACAAGTGTTTTATCTGTTATTTGAAGGAAGAGCAGAGAATCTAAGATGAATTATTTTCTAAAAATTTAGGTAATGGAGGAAGTAGATGATGGCTTCCGTCTTCCCTCACCTCAGGTTCGCAGACTTTGTTTAGTAACTTTACTTTTCAAAATGTTTAGTAACTTTAGTTCTCAATGGATTTTAAGTTGATCTTATTCGAAAAAGTTCTTAAATCTGTTACATAAGTTATTTTTTTAGCTTTTATTTCATCATGTAACTTCGTTTTAAAAATATTTCGGTTGTTGATATGTAAGTAAGATGACTCAATTGGCATGATTTCCGTCGTACTTTCTGATTTTTCAGTTTCAAATTCTCACAATAACATATTTATTCTTTATTCAGAAAGTCTGTTTCAGCTTTTGATAGTTTTAGTTTAATGTTGCCGGAAATTTTCAGTTTTGAAATTCATGTACATATCAAATGTCATCAAACATTAACAAACTGGAATTCTTTGAAAATATTGCCGATGTCATGTAATTTATCTAACATCTTAAGCTTTATACGTGGTATACCATGCATGGCCAGGTTCATGAAAATTACATTAATTAAGGGACGGTATTGTCAATAATTTTTAACTGTTTCTATTTCGTCTCAGAAATGTCCCTTTGGAGTACACAGCCTCATGCTTCAGTGCTGGAAAGCTGAGCGGGGTGGAAGACCAAGTTTTGCTCAGATAACTATCGTCATCGACAGATGGATCAGATCTCCTGAAACAATGGACGACGAGGCTAACTTTTTTATCACAATTAGTAAGTCATGATCGATGATTGTCTCTGCATGCATGAGTCGATATATAGGTACCATTGTTTCTGAGTCTTCACTTGAAAAGACATCTAATTATATATACCGTTGACCCAAATTGCATAGTATGTATCAATGCACCCTTCTGGAAAGTATGTCACTTTGACCATAAAGCCTCGTTTTCGTACAGGAAGGATGTATTGGCATCGTCTTGTCAAATCCCTCAACCCGATGGTTGAAATATTTCAAAAGATTAATTTATGGATGGTAAAATTATTTGAACATAAACTAGCTTATTATAGAGACTCTGAAGTTTCTGGTAAAAAGGTCACGATCAGTAACACAGTTTAATTCTATTTCTATGAACTTATAGGTGATTGGCTAACATCGATCAAGATGGGCAGTTATAAAACAATGTTTATAGAAGCTGGTTACACAAAACAGTCAGAAATTATTGACTTAACTGATGCAGATTTAAAAACTATTGGAATCACATTGATTGGACATCGTAATAAAATCATGAAAGGTATTGAAACTCTCAGAGCTAGAAAGAGCAGGCAGCCAACGCCATTACTACCAAGATCAGGCACTCCTCTATGAATAATGCTGGTATACCTTTTACTATTGAAAATATATTTTTACTCTATCCAATGTCAGAATAATGGAAGATGATCTTTGCTATAATTGTACTATATTTACTATAAATTGTAGTTAATCATAGCCGACCGATTCGAAAAAATGGTTGTCATTCTTTTTTCTTCCGATCAATGTAATTAATTTCAACCAACGGATAATCACTGTCGCCTTATAGAATACTTCAAGACTAACAATTTTACAAAATAAAAATACATTACCATGCAAGTATTCTCTTTGAGAAACTACATGTTAAAAATACCGAAGTTTATGCTATATAGCTTTTTTGCAAATTTCAAAGGGCTATAACTTCGCTTGCATGGATTGTTTTCAATCTTTAACTTTTACACTTTGCTTTAAATAACAGTCCCTGTTGAAAAATTGTTTACTAGCCCGGTAATGCATAAAATATAAAGCAATGGAAAATCGTGGTAGCTAGTTTTCGAATCGGTCAGTATTCATACAAAATAAATCTACATAAACATGAAGCGTTTGTAGTATGCTGATACAACGATACCGCTAATGGAAGAATTTTCTTAACTCACTAAGACGATCAGGCACATCGCCTCACTGTCGTGAATAAGTAAAACTTTGATTTCAAACGCATCAGTGAAAAAAGACTAATTTCATTATTTAATACTGCATATATGTCTTGTGGTGTATAAGTTGTATATCACGAAACTAAACATAGAAAATTGGAAATTTCCCATAAATTAAAAGAAAGATATGTAAATAGAACTCCAATTATTAATCGAAGAAATGGAACCGTTCACATATACAGACGAAGAGTTTCGCTCGAAAATGGTCGAGGTTTCTCTTTGTTCACAAAAGTCGGCAAATGAATGAGTAGGAATGTTGAACATATTTATGGTAATTATATAAATAATGTATAGTTTTATATATAGTATATGCACAATTTCTAATTTTTGTAGCTACCAGTAAATTTTTGTAAATCACTATTGAATGTTATTAATGGGATATCTTGAGTAGTATATCTGATTGCACATTTTTATTAATTAACTTCAAGTATACAAATGTAACTGAAAATATTTTAATTAATTTAAATGGGAAGACCGTTAACAACAAATGAAAATCTGAGCGAAATATTAAAATTATTTAAAGAAGAATTTAAAGTGAAAAGACTGAATTTTAACTCGTGCGACTGAGCTCTATACAAAGTACTTTTTTGTATTTGGTAAAATTCCGTATGTTTTAAAATGTGGATGGCTGGTCATGGTTAATGAACACTGCTCTCATAGCAAAATGCGGATATAGATTTATGTCTCCTGTTCATGAGTTAGGGTCAGCGGTTAGGAAGGATAGGTCAGCATTCAACGCTATTAGAGACCTTACGATTTTAGGACGGCAACGCGACGGCGACAGCCAAAACAAACTCCTTCAAATAAATGTTAGTAAAGATAGTTCGTCGTATATCATAATATACGACGAACTATCTTTACTAACATTTATTTAAATGAATTTAATACAGTCTTAGAAGTTGAAGACATGGGTTTTATGGTTGGGAAGAGTTCTGCTAAACCCAGTTTGAAGTTGCACTTGTTGTGGCGTGGAATGCAGCCGTTGTATCAACACGTGAAAATCTGTGATTTAGCGTTGTAAACAGAGCGAGGACAATGTCTAAATTATTCACATATTGTAATTCAATGATCTATTGTATTGTTAGCCGTTGTCGTCGCGTTGCCGCCCTAAAATCGTAAGGTCTCTATTGTCAGCATTCAACGCTATTGTCAACATTAAACGCTATTGTCGGCATTCAAAGCCATGGGATCGCCTTGTTTTATACTGCACGTTTTCTGGAAGCGGCAAAAGTATTTAAAAGGCCCCCAAGAGAGCTTCGAATTATTGTGGAATGATTATTGAATCACAATGGAGATCACAATCCTTTGTATAATCGTAATTATGTAAACAAGGAAAGGGAAAAAAATTCAATCTAAAAAGTTGAAAATACTAGCAAAACCTTCTACGATTTTGTATGTAAGTCCGGATTTCAAAAAAATTATGTTCACCTATTGGAGGACTCTTTGTGTACTATTTTCTTTGGTATCATTAAAAAGGAAGTAAACCATAAGCATTTATCAACACCAAGTACTGGGAATACTGTATCGAACTAAAGACCATTGACACACCACACGCAGGAAGATTTAAATCTCACAGTGGAAGCACTGGTTCCTAGTTACCAGTCACGTTCCAACCTGCTTCATCATTTGCATCCTATATAGCCAGACAAAACAAATCCCAGCGTGATACAAATATCTCCAAAGATCAAAGCATATTTTATGGCCATTTTGCATAATTTAATGAGAAAATTGCTGACAAGCACCATTAGTTTGCAAATATGACAGCGACCAAATTCCGTTGAGAGTAACGCTATTTAACTTATTTCCTATATAATGTTTCCATAGAAGTTCTATCTTTTTAAGAAAGTTATAATTGAGGTGTTTGTAGCATTTTGTGGACCTTAATGCGGCGGAATAACCTGACAGTGACAACAACAGCCGTATGATGAGTTAATCACGGAGTTACTAATAAACAGCATTAATATTCAACTGGGTATGTCGATGATTTTATATGATAAATTTATGTCATATTTGTTAGTTATTGGGTGTATAGAAATGTTGGGTTGTGTTCATCGATCAAATTTCAATATGCTCATGTGTGATATACCAACTTATCAACGCGGTAGTCTACATTTCACCTATTTATGTTTGTGGTTTTCGGCAATTGTAATGGGCGCTGTAATGCTTTATTATATAAAGCGCTAGTTTCTGTACTTTATTCATTTATCATTTATCATAAATATTAATACTTTGTCACATTTATAGTGCTTTATACGTTCAACTGTCAGTCATATTGCTAACGTTTAAATTCAGCTAATATTAATTATCTAATCAAGCGAGCATGCAGAATTCAGCAGCTCGGAACAATAATATTGATTGTCTATCTGATCGACTGATCTGACATTGCATATAAATCCAGTCTGATTGAAAGGTTAACGTTTCGATTGATTTTCATTCGTATTTGACACAAAAGATAAATACAAAAAAACTTGGCGTGTTTTGTGTGGTTCTGGTTAGGCCTTAGGGTATTGTGCTGTTTATATAATAAATGGAAAACACTACCCAATTATATTACATCCAAAGACCTAACATTTTCAGAATTCAAGCATCTTCTTTTTAAGTACTATATTTTAGCATTAGAAAATACATACGATGTTGAGGATCCCCGGACATGGAAAAGTGTGTGTATAAAATGTAATTCCGCTCGAAGTTTAATGAACTCTCCATTGACATGCTGCTTTTAGACAAATGTAATGACTGTTGTTCAAGTATTGTCTGTTGTGTGTGTTTAGTATACCTTGTAAATTGTTTCTGTATAACTATTGGGGCCGCTGTAATTGGCAATAGCTGTTGTGGTTTCCCAACCAATGAATGTATAAGTATGATGGCAAAGTAAATAAATAAATGTGTGCCACCGTTGTTATTTTATATTGAGTGCATGTGGAAACGTTGTGTTGGGTTATTGATCGCATTTAATGACGGTATAATTAAGGTTTAATCTCATATTTGATATACCGACTTAACGGCCGTTTTCATCCTTTCTATAATTTATTTCTGTGCTCTTCAACTTCCGCAGTTTCGATGCATGGTTCCCTGCTGGCAGAGGTTTCGACGGGGGATGCTTATGATAATAAGTGGTAGTTCCGTTGTTTATTGATTTATCAAGCTTTATCCTGTCTTTATATCACGAATATCATATCGACTTCAATTTATATCGTTATGTTACAGTACCAAGGCTGCTAGGATGTGGATCAAGAACAAAGAAAAATGTATTCGTGCCAGTAACATGACGATACTATAATTATATTAATTAATTAACAGACAACTTTGGACACAAATATATATAGTGTTCTTTGTTCTTGACCCAAAGCGCAACCCTTCCCGGCGCCAGCTATCATGCTACTGTTGATATTAAAAGACTACCAAAGCGAGCATGCATAACATGTATCTTTATATTGTTTGCAACTTTTAACTTAATTTTAAGGAATGTTTATATAATGCTTTTGCATCATTAGATTCGGCAGTTCAAATTAAAACTACGAAAATTAATTAATTGCTTAATTGCACGTGCAAATGAAAAACTATTTAATATCAACACGAAATACCTCAAAATTGGAATAAATGTCCACATCTCTCTGCAGTATAGTTTACAATATTATAGGTTCATGCATGCAGAATTAACGTCCACTAGCGTTACCAGATATACGTAGATTAAACGCATCTGATTGGTTAATGGTAGCGTTAGCAAGGCTCTTACCCACGTTTAATATTATGATTATTAGCCTTTCTCACGCC